TTTCGAGAATGTCACTGCGATCAAATGAATTATATACAGTGTTCAGAAGGAATAAGTTTCATAGGTGAAATAATTGAATGTAATTCTATTATAATTATCTAAAATGATTGCCTTGAACTTATAGTACAGAAGCAAAAATAAACAACTGAAATTTAAAGGAAATCAAGAGCATACACATGCATTTACTTTAACTCAAATATAGGGAATTAAATTTTATAATTTAAATTATAAAATAAAAATATTTAAAAAAAAAAACCCTAAATATTATATGATTTGCCTCCAATCTAATGATTTAAGATTGCACAACATAGTTTTTGGTATGTATATATTTACACACGTATAAAAAAAATAGGTATCAGCCTTAATTATAAAAAATTTAGCGAAATGAGAAATAAAAGCTACGCCGTTCTATGCCCCCATGTATTTTCTCTAAATTTTTTTTCGCTTTTCTTTTCTCCTCCTTCCCTCACCTTCTTCGATGTACACGGTCTCCCCCATCTATGTTAGAACCAGCCCCTATGCCCGCCAATGATCAACCACAGCTGGCCTCCTCTTTCTGTTTCCAGCACCCCCATGTTACATACCGAATTGTCAATGAGGATATTTTAGGGACTTTTACTGGTTTGTGAGTCTAAAAATATCAGTGTATCAAGTTTAAGGGTATCTGAGGAAATATACTATAAGTGGTTTCCTTCCTTCTCCTCGCATTCTCCTTCTTCTTGATTCTTTCCTTGATTCTAGATTCTTTCTCTTCTTGTTCCTTAGTTTTGAATTGGACTGTAACACCATGATTATTTCGCAGCGAAACGGTGAGTTTTTCTGCAAATATCTCTTCAAGCTTGTAGACTTCCATTCTTAGATATATCTAATGAGTTTCCATTGTTTTCTAATAGAAAATGACACCAAAAATCAGAACTGGTGAAGCCGACGACTCCATTGCCGGAAAATTGGCAATAAAGGAGAGACACGGGACTACACGCTAAATGGATCCGTTTGATGTTTCCAACCCATTCTTTGACCCAAACTCAGAAGTAAGGAAACAACGCAAGTTTTAGAGTCTAATCCTCTAATTTTTGCAATACAAGTTGATATGCAGTAATGTTTCACACACACACACATATATATATATATATATATATATGTGTGTGAGTGAATCCAGTAATCTCTCACAAACACATATATAAGTTAGATCTATTACAACCTGTTTTTTAGAGCGAATGGCGAGAGCGAGAGAGGGTGCTGGTTTCCGAGCGGGGTTTTCGACAGCCAGGGACAGTGGCAAGGGCTTCAGCCGGCGGCTTCCAGGTTATGGCAGGCAATTTATAGGGCGGGTAACTACATATTTTTTTATGATTTTCCGGTAAATCGTACTGCAAAGGATTTGTGGTATAGTTTTCGGTCATATGGAAAAGTAGCAGATG